GGTGCGTTTCTATCAGTCTTCCTACCATTATGACCAAGTTGCGAAAACAAGGTCAAACAACTTCTATTGATAAGCAAAGTTATATAAACGGTGGTTTGACCCATTAATTTTCTTTTTTTTATTACAAGAGGTAAGATAGGGCCGGATAGTCTTCTTGACCTTGTGTTAACGTGAGAATTTTACAAGAATGAGTTCGTCCATTACATGATGGACGAAATCTTTGCCAGTTTTCACGCGAAACGGAATAGTATGTCTCTTGGACTGTGTCAATCTGAACGTCATATTAAAGCAAATTTGCTACAGTACAGCGGGAATCAGCCGTCTTATTTTGGGGAGATCGACCTTCGAATCTACTGTTAATGTTTTTTCATACGAAATGAAAGTCTCTCTGGCAATCGAAACCTTGTTCCTATTCGTATCTATAATTTGAGATTCTGAAAATTTTTCTATAAGTCACTTAAAACTCATTTAAGTTCTAAACTAGTCGTAAAACGATCTAAACGCATTGCACTTGCTCTTAGCTTATTTTTTTTAATCCATCCGTCTTCTGCACAATTATTTTTTTAATAACACTACTACATGAAGCTATAACTATTTTATTGGTAGAATTTATCAATGAAAACAATATCTTTCATTATGATTACGTACTAAAAATGTACAAGATGCTGTGATTTATTTTTAAGGTTCGACATATATTTCCTCCTGATTTTGTTAATGCCATGGTCCTCTTTGACATTGTAATCCATTTTACGTTTTATCCTATTGTATTTTTTCCATTATTGTGAGTTATCGTACAACGTACTTTATGAGTTTCAGACAATTAACCAATTCTTATAAGAATTACACTCGATACAGAGAAGTGAGAGATTCTGTTGTATGCCTCATTGAAATGATTTGCTTTAGCAGACACATCATTTTCAGCCATACCTTAGGGAATTATTTTTATAAATGGGCCTATTATTTTTTTAGCTCTATTAGTTTATATCTTTAATTATTGGTTAACATGTTCTTCTTCACTTTGGCCTTCGTCTGTTTTAGGGGATGCCAGCTGAATGGCTTCAGTGGTTGCATGCAGCAGACATCCCTGCTGTTGAGCGCCAACGTCATCCAGAACTTGTCATTGAAGTGCTTCAGTGCTATGATGCGGCTACCAACTACGCCCACCGGCGACACAAGTTCATCAGGGTTCCGCCAGACCAGCTGCCAACGGTTGCATCTGAAGCGGTAACAATTAAGGGAGCTCCTGTTCAAGGCTCATTGACAAAAGGTTGGTGGATAGGTAACTATCTTGATGATAAAATCAGTTTACCAAAAGTATGAGTTTTGCTAAGACTAGACTCTCGATTTTCCAGATTAAGATGCAATGTCATTTTAATAAAATTTGGATCTATTTAAATTTGCTAGGCTACTTTGATCGTATAGATACAAGGAGTAACCGGGTTTAGATGAATCTCCTAAGATAGCATTGTCAGAGGGACTTTCATATTCTATGGAAGTGTGGAAGTAGAGATTCGAATGTAGACTGCCTCAACCTGAATGTCATATTAAAGCCAAACGGCTGCAGTAAAAC